TATTTGGTTCAATATATTTGTCAGAAAGATATATTTTGTGGTGTGATTTAAAGCCCTTCTGCATCCTTTGTTTTGCAAGTAACAGAAATATTTCCTTTCTTACTGTATTACAAAGCCATACATTGATTTACAATTTGTATATATCTTTTTAAACAGATAATTCATTCTGACAATCGTAAGAATCGATACAATGGATGGCCCGCTGAAATCCAGATTGAAGGCTGTATTCCGAGAAACCTAACGAGCTGAATTCTAACGTTTGCAAAATGGCACACTGCATATATATTTATATGGAACTATTTTCTCCAAAAAGCTGGCTGTCTAAAGCTGTGGACCAAAACAATTCTAGATAAAATCAATTTGAAACACTGGATTCAATTGCAGAATTTATTTTTATCATGAATAGTAAATCATTAGAGACATGTCTCCTTCCCCCACACCTGCTCCATCTTCTCCTTTCAGGATGCTGGGTTGCAACACTTATCATTTCCAGCCACCACAAAGCCAAATAGAGCTGGAATTTTGAAAATTAATAGTCATCTGACCCACATCAGGCTTGGAAAAGGTGAAAAAGAAAAGTATTTTCCTATTGATGTTTTATGTTGTCCCTTAGAAAAGCAATGTATTGAAAGCAGAGGTGCCCTACAAATGTGCATTTGTAAAATTGCTCTCTCTGTGTGTGTATATATGTCAGAAAGCTCACCAGAGCTAAAAGGGGCTCATCCATGCACCCAGTTTAAGTGCCTTGTGAGATGGCACAAAAGTATGCCCATGTAATTTGCCCTGTCCCAATTACCAGATCTCTACTTTACCATGAAAAAGACAAGGGGATGGTACTTTCTTGACAACTTTCCTATAGTGCAAAAAAAAAATTCTTGGTGGATTTCCCAATGGCGGGGAAAATATTCACCAACTGCTCTCCCAGCATAAGCAGATCTGGGGAGGGAGGGCATTTTTAACAGATCATTAGACCTCTGGTTTAGCCATCTGTCAAAATCTGGTCTGCAGGGTAGGTGGAGGCTTTGGGGGGGGGGGGGCTTTCCTGATTTACCCCCAAATCATTACTAGTTTCATTGATGAGGTCATGAAGCATTCCATCCCATCCAACAAACTACCTTTCTCTCTCTTGGTTTGTGCTAAAACTCTTTGCTCTTTTGGTTTTCTTCCTGGAAAAGGAAAAAAAAACTGTGTCTTTTGCTCTTTCTCTCACTGTTTGGATTCCGCTGTTTCTTTCATATTCTTTCACTCTGGTACTCTGTCAGAAGCAACACAGGCATCTGTCAAAGGAGCTCAAAGGGAGGCAAATAATAAATAATAAAAGCAGGGTTGTGCCATTGCATGCAAGCTCTGCCCTTTTGATGTGCACTGTGAGATTGCATGCACATATAGAATATGTAGAGTTTATTTTGCAATAGTGCAACGCTGCTTTTGTCATTTGATGGAAAAACTCTGTGAATGCCCTCTGGGTCTCATTTACCACTTGCTCTATTGCTTTGCCTCACTCTCTTGCTCATTTGCTCTTTTGCTTGTTCTCTTTCTCACTATCTCTGTTACTCTATCTAAAAATAGCTGATAGCTGGCCTGCTGATAAATAGTGACAGGTAGACTCTTCCCCCCCATTTCTCTTAGCTTGATTTCCCTTTTGCTCCTTGACCCTAATGCAGTAAAAATGGTAGCCCTGGTCACTTTGAAAAATATTGGACTTGCATTATTCCAAATTCATGTAAATATTTTTAAAGGAATAATTTAACAACTTTTGCCAAGGGAATCCCTACTTACTCTTGAAAATTTCAGAGGCAGTTGCCAGGGCAGAAAAGTATGGATTTGTATACTGCAGCAGTAAGCAGCCGGGAGGAGCTGGACAGATTCCAGCTATGACTATGTCAACATCATGGTTGCTGCCAAAGCGCACTAAGCCATGGTAGCAAGGATTGTGTAGGGAGAAGATGGGAAACATCACTCATATCAGATGAATATGCAGTGAGGACACCTCAGTGATGAGGTAGGAAGGAGACAAGGCCAAATCATATGGTATAATAAGCAATAAATAACCTTAAGACATGTGGATGTGTCCCCAATTTAGCAATCAACAATCAAATCAACAATGAAGCTAGTTTAAAATTCAACTGAAAAAAAATCATTTTGCTTTAGTGTCCTATTCTCACGCCTAGTTACAGGGCTGTCTGAACAGCATTATGGGCCCCAGGCAAAGCAGTGTATGGGGGTCCTACGATGACAAGTCACAGGAATAAAAATGTAATTAGCCAATAAAATTAAACATATATTTGCATGTTAGTATTAATTAAAATGCAGTGAAATGTAATAAATATGTTGCTGAATTTATATTATACAAGGTGCATTGAAGGGTTAACATACAGATTAGTATGGGGGCCCTATGCTCGTGGGGCCCATGGGCATGTGCCCATCAGGTCCATGTGTTAAGACAGTCCTGCCTAGTTAGAAGAACCTTTCATAACCTCACAGTATGCTACAATATTTAATACATGCATTGCTTTAAGTATGTTAAAGAGTGGTGCAGTGGCCTGGAGGTGGAGCTATTGCCTCACAATCAGGAGGCTGTGAGTTTGATCCTAGCTAGAGGCAGAAATTTCTCTCTCTCTTGGCACAATGAGAATATATCTACTGCGAACTCTGCATTGGTGACAGGAAGGGCATCCGGCCAATAAACAGTTGCATTCAGTTGCCCCAATTCCACCCCAATACAAGGGATTATGGGCTCATTAAAAGACCAAATAAAATTGCTTTAAATATGGTAAGAACAATAAACTGTTCATGTTTTAACTCTATGTTGTCATACACTTATTTGGGACTACCATATACAATTGATGCTAACAGTATTTGAAGAAGTGGCAGAATGACCTCAGGATCTTTGTGGTATTCTTCGGCTTGGTGGGATTTGGTGGGATTAATTCCTAGACTTTGGCTACACAGCAGAAATAACTACTAATGTAGTTATTATGACTAATGACATTAGTCATAAATGGGTTATAGGAGTGACAAGAAAACAATTCATTTGAATGGCTTTTAGATTGCTAAATCAGAATAAATTTGACTGATTGCAATTATTTCTCCTTTGTGCCAGTTCTTGCCAGAATTTCTTTTGGAAAAGTCAGAGCTGGCAACAGGAGAATACATGGAGTCATCACTTAATAACTGTAATTGGAACCAGAAACTCCTTCAATAAACTACACAGTTATTAAGTGAAACATCACAAGGCCATGATGTAAGTTCAGCTGCAGTTGTTAAGCAAAACACAATAGATTGTGAAGCACTAAGTATGATCACAACTTGCAAATTACTGCCAGCTTCCTCATTGATTTTTCTTGCATTCAGCTATCAGTGAAGCTTACAAATCTTGTGAGTGTGTGGACACAGCAGCCATCATAAATGCATGCTGATTGCAAAGTGCTCAGATGGTGATCACACATGCTGTGGGATACTGGGATGGGTGCAGGTTTGAGGACCAGTTGTAAACCTACTTTCTCATTTGCATCATAACTTTGGTCTCTGGATGAGCAGTTGGTAATCAAGAACTGCCATCTGTCAGAAATGGTGTAGGGTCTCCTGCCTTGGTGGGGTGGGGTTGGACTAGATGGCCATGAATAAGCATTCTTTGTTCTTGCCAAACAGACTCCACAATTACAAACTTCCAGGTCTCTTTTCAAGTGCATGCCATAACCTTGCTTTGTTCTAGCAGCAACCCAGTAGTGGGATTCAACATTTTTTACCACTGGTACTGTGGGCGTGGCTTGGTGGGAGTTTTAGGGGAAGGATCCTGCAAAACCCCATTCCCTCCCCACCCCATTAACCTACTTTCCAGCTCCGTTCTCCTGTGCAGGGCAACAAAAGAAGACCTAGTCAATCAGCTGGGACTCAGGAGACAGAGAATAGATGGGGGCGGGACCAGTGGTATTTGCGGTTCTCCAAACTACTCAAAATTTCCGCTACCAGTTCTCCAGAACTGGTCGGAACCTGCTGAATGTCACCTCTGCAGCCAGCACATCACAAACTGCTACTTTATTATGTTGGAAGTTAAAACCCACCCATCTCCTAGGAAAATGAAATATTTTAAGATATGCTAAAAAGGCAGAATATTTCCCCTAAAAAGAAAAGTAGAAACTCAGAGGCAGAAACTCAGCCCCACACCTTTGCTAATGGGCCGTTACTCTGGCCTGGGCCAGTCTATTTTACATAACAAAGATCTACTCCAGGTAGAGCTATCATAGGAATTGTCCAAAGCCCTTTCATTACATCATCATCCGGCAAGGCTCAACCAAGCCTGGCACTCAGCACAGCCTACACTGAGTTGCCCCTGCATGGCCCCATGGGAGTCTGACAACCAATCAGAATATGAGCTGAAATTCAAATCCCAACAGAAGGCATAAAACCCAAGGGTCTCTCAGCATCTTGCCCCTTCTTTTTCCTCACCCAACATCTTGAAGCATGTGATTGCCCTTTTCACTTTGGAGCTCCAAGCCATGTGGTCCTGTCCACCATTAAACCATCTCTCCAAACAGCCTCCGTGTTTCCAGTGTCTTTCTTCCCCACTTGGAACTGAACCCAGAAGGATATTTCTTCCAACAATTACTTTCATTTAATCAGCTTTTAAAATACTTTTAAAAGTACTACGCGGAAAGCAAAAGAATGGGCTCATTTACTGCTAATCCTTTTGAGAAAAAGTGATTTATCATTGGAGTTGAGGTCTGGATGGGGGCGGGGAGAAGTGGTTTGAGGGTTTCGTTTCTTTTCCTTCTCCGCAAGATCTGGGAAAATGATTCACATTAGCGGTGAGAAATGAAACTCGCTCTTGCAGGGAGCGAGCGCTGTTTCTCGGGAAACAGAAAGTTCCCGGTATTGCCGATTTTTTTTCGTTGCCGGGGTAAGTTTCGATTTCTCTTCACCGAGAAACTGAATGGGAAGGAGTCCGTTCTGCGGTGAGGGTCACTTAGTCTTCTCCCGACCTGCGCCGAGAAAGCATCGTCTTCTCCTCCGACGCTCCCAGCTCCGAGCCTGAAAGGTAGGAGTCTACAGTATGGAAAGGATTTCAAATTGCACGCTCCTTCCTGGCGGAATGCAGTTCGTTTCAGCGGAGGGAATTAAATAAGACTGCTGGAAGATCTTAATGATCGAGGTAGTTTGGGGGCGAGGGAAGGGGGTCCGACGGAATATGCCTCGGAAGCGTTGGAATAACAAGAAAAGACGGAGAGTCCCGAAGTTGCTGGGTTTTCCCTACTGAGGAGCGCAGAGATCCTTTGAGCATCAGAAACTGAATTCCCAACTAATCACTGGCTTTGCAGATTGTAGAAAGGACACCTGTGCAGGCTACGTGGGTTGGTAAAACCGTGGTTTGCTTAATAAGCCACAGTACTTGATTTCACAAAAGAAGCTAAGGTAGAACCGTAGATCATAAATCACAGCAATGGAGCTTACTTAGAGTTAAATGTGCGAACGTTCTTGCAGTGTTTAAGAATTTCTGCTTGATCTTGAAAGCAGCAAATGAACATTTGGAGGAGTGGTGGGGGTGGGAGTAAATAAAATTAATTTAGCAGGAAGGCAGGGGTTCAAGCCCTTTGAAAACAAGTTGTATAATCACATAAAAATTGCATGTCTGAGGATACTTGTCGGCCCTCAAATGGCATTTAATTGAATTTCTGACAGTGAGAATAATCAACCAATGGAACAGCTTGCCCTCGGAAGTTGTGAGAGCGCCATCACCTGAGACTTTCAAGAAGAGATTGGACTCCCATCTGTCAGAAATGGTGTAGGGTCTCCCGCTTGGGTGGGGGGTTGGACTAGATGACCTATAAGGTCCCTTCCAACTCTGATTGTATCTGAATGTAAGAAGGGGAGGCTGTCAGTAAGACCAATGGTTTGGAGGTGCCTTTTAGCACACCCAAAAACAATCTTTAGAGACTTTGTTATGGTTTGTAGCTGCTTATTTTAACAACGAAGCTTTTTCTGAAGAGAATCCAGTTTTTAACAGGTCAGCACCAGACTGTTTGTTTGTTTGTTTGAGGCAATGCACAATTTATGCCAAATTATTGACAGGTGTTTATGTAATGCTTTGATTATGCATTTACTCTGCTAGCATACTTTCTAAATTATCATTAGCTGTTGATAAAAGCAGTTAAAAGTGGACATCACTTTTATGTCCACCCATTGGATCAGGTGAGAATGTTACTGATATTATGGCAGCATCTTTATGAACTAACAGTGTTTTTATTCCAGAACATATTTTGCTGCATAGACACTACAAAGTCTGCCATGAAGAAATCCAGAAATACTGAGTTCAAAAAGGTACTGCTATGGCATATGTACAGATTATAATATATGTTGCCAATTAGGCAAGGCTGGGTGGGTGATTTTGGGGGCAGTTGCTCTCATTCAACATTCACAGGGTTGCTGTAATGGGGAAATTGGAGATGAGAGCATTAGGTCTGCATACTACATTCTCTCTCTCTCTCTCTCCCCCCCCCCCCCATATATATATGTGTGTGTGTGTATAAAGTTTTCACGGGTACTTACATGTACGGTATTCAGCTTTGTTCGGGTATTTTCCCATGTCCGTCAACGAACACTATACAGAAGCCTGATGATAGCAGATGAGATTCTGCCAAAACGTTGCTACAACTTTAAAAGCACAACTATAATGACGTGGGAAAATATCCAAACAAAGGTGAATACCACACACACACACAGAGACAGACATATATATGTATGTATGTATGTAGGTCTAGGTGTGTTCAGGTCTTTTTCCATGTAAAATTAAGAGTATCTTGGCGATGTTTCGGGGAGGTCCCACTCGTCATCCTCAGGCTGGTGATTTCAGCTTCGTGCCAGTGCAAGCAGTGTGTGATCGGAGCTGCTGTCTCTCTATAAATACTGGTGGTGGGGGCTGGTGTGCTGGGCTGGTTGGCTGCACTTCTGCCTCTTGATTGGTTGATGGAGTTGATGTTGGTATAATGGGCTGTGTGAGTTTTGTTGTGGAGATATCCTGGATTTTGTGCAGTAATCTCCTGGGTCATTTGTTTTGTAGTGATTTTTTCCATTAGCCTCTCATGTTTTAACAGCTTGGGTAATGGGTTGTGTGATGACCTTGTGAGATATATTGCTGTGGTATCCTTGGTTTTGTGCTGTGATTTCCTGGGTCATTTGCTGTGTTGCAACTTCCTGAGTTCTTGTGGTATAATTTCCTGATGTGATATCCTGAGCGGGTGGCTGTGATGTAGCATTCTGGGTTTTGGTCTGGCTTCGAGTTTGGGGTCTGGGTCTGTGTTCTTGGCGTGTGTCAGCTTGTTTGGTTTTGGGATTGGGGGGTGCGACAACTGCATACATGATATTTTTCTGACTAAAATCAGAACTCCGATTTTTCATCGCCCCCTCCTTCCCCCCCCCTTCTTCTCCTCCTTCCCCTCCCCTCGGAAGCCTCCTGAGTCAGGAGCAGGGAAGCGGCTGCCCAGCTCTGGAGCTGATCCACACCACCAGCTGGAAAGGAAGGGTGTGTATGTGTTGGTGTTGTGTGTGCGATTTCTTGGTGCGTGGTCTCTTTTGGCCGGCCCTGAAAGAGCACGCACGGGGCAGGCGGTGGAGATGCGGGAACGAATGCGGGAAGGAAGTGATCCTCATTGCAAAGTTTTGCCTCTTTCCCTTTCTTTTTCTTCTAATGGAGTGTGTCTCTCCCCCCCCCCCCCCCCAAGATAGTGTGACTTCGTTGTGAATGGTCAGAGCTATTCAGCTAAGGTGCAAGGATGACTGTATGTTGCCACCCAATCCTCATTCTTTCCCCCTGGACATTCCCTCTGGATCTCCGCGTTTATCCCTCAAGATTTATGCAACTGGGCAGGAGGCGCTGGATTACCCGGCGCCTTTTGGCTTCGGGAGATAAACGCTACAAGGAGGCGAGAGCTCAGGACCTCGCGCTCCTCTGGTGGGAAGCGATGATGGTGCTTCTGTCCGGGGTTAGGAAAGCAGATGAGCTGAACAGCGGCTTGGCTACTTACCTTGTGAGGCAGGGGAAGGCAGGAGAAGGGAAGAAGACGGGGGTGGCATGGGGCAGGGGGGAGAGGTTTCCCAGGGATGCGAAGGTGTGGAAAGAGCCAGACGGCTGCAGCTCCTTCCAGAGAGTGAAAGCAATGTTCATTTACTGGAAAATTGCCCTGCGGGAAGTTGCGTGGAGGAAAAGAAAAAGAGCTTGGAACAGCGACTGGAACCGGAGCTCCCTTGATTAACAATTCTGAATTTTTTTCCCTTTCTTTTTTTACTCCCTTCCCACCATTGATAATTAGGATCTGGTGCCTCCAGGGTCCTGTTGGCGGTAGAGAGGGATGATTAGATTTGGGGAGGAGGGTGGGGTCAGAAGGAAAAGGCACCCCTGGCTACTTTTCAGATTTTTTTTTTCGGAGGGGAATATCATGCCTGCAGCTGGCAAAGCAGCCGTGGTCTGGTTTCTGGATGGTGGTTGTCCTTTGTTTATAGGATGGGTTTGGGTTTGGGTCTGATGAGGGGGATTGGCGGTGATGTTCTGTGTTGCTTTGGGTCTGGTGTTGGTTTTCGTGGCTGGGACTCATTTGTTGATGAGGGCTAGTTTCCAGATGTCTGGTAGGCGGGAGGTATCGTCCCGTTTATTCATGTTATGGGGGTGTTTCTCTCTATTTCGATGGCTTCCCTAATTATTCTCTTGCTGGAGTGTTCAGTGTTGGATATTAATTTGGTTCCTTCGAAATTAATTTCATGTCCTGTGGCTTTAAGGTGCTGGAAGAGGGAGGAAGTATTTTCTTCTCTTCTGACTGTTTTTTTGTGTTCTGCGAAGCGTGCATTTGTTCTCTTGTTGGTTTGTCCAATGTATGTGGCTGGGCAATTGTTGCATGGTATTTCATAAACTCCTTGGTTTTCTAGCTGGATCTTGTCTTTGGGGTTTCTTAGGATGTTGGCTATTTTTTGGTCAGTGCTGAAGGCTGTCCTGATATTGAGTTTGTGGAAAATTTTGCTGATTTTGTCTGTGGTGCCTTTGATGTAGGGGAGGAGTGCGATACTGTTGTCTTGTTCTGTGTCTTGGTTAGTTCTGTTCTCAGGTGGTCTTTGTCAGCTAGGCGTTTGGTTCTGGAGATGAGGGTTTTGGCTACGGAGTTGATGGGATTGTGCATTTAGGTAGTGGTTGGTGTGTAGATGGTGTGTTAGGACGTCCAGGAAGGGAAGTTGGTTGTTGGTTTCTGTTTCCATGGTGAATTGTATTTTGGGTTTTAGGTTGTTGAGATGCATGTGGAAGTTGTCCAGTTTTTCTTTCCCGTGTGGCCAAATTACGAAGGTGTCATCTACATATCTGAGCCAGAGCTTGGGTTTGTGTTTGGATTTGTCTAGAGCGTTGGTTTCAAAGTGTTCCATGTATAGGTTAGCGATGACGGGTGAGAGGGGTGATCCCATGGGTGCTCCTTCTATCAGTTTGTATCTTAGTCCATTGTGGATGAAGTATGTGTTGGTTAGGCAGTGGTTGATCAGATCTAGGATGTGTTTGGGGGGGTTGTATTTGTTTTGGATGGCTGTCAAGGCTTCTTTGATGGGTACTTGAGTGAAGAGAGATATGACATCGAAGCTCATGAGTAGGTCGCTGGGTTGTAGGTTTTGTTTCTTTATTGCTTCTATGAAGTGGAAGGAGTTTTGTACGTTTGAGGTGATGGATTCTGTGTAGGGCTGGAGTTGTTTGGCGACAAATTGGCAAGATTCTGTAGAGGTGAGCCTATGGAGCTGAGTGGTATTCCTTCTTTGTGTATCTTGGGGAGGCCATAGAGCTTAGGGCATCTGGATGATTTTTCTCTGGGGATGATTCTCTGCTGGATCTCTTCACTGATGGGAGACACTTTTATTCTGGATTTGGTGGTTTTTTCTAGGTAGGTGGTGGGGTCAGTATTTAGAGGTTTGTAAGTGGGATCTTGGAGTAGATTGGATAGTTTGGAACAGTAGTCCGATGTGTTCATTACAACTGGTGTTGCCTTTTTCTGCTGGGAGAATGACTACGTTGCTGTCTTTCCTCGGGTTGGTGAGTGCTTTTTGTTCTTCTCTGCTTAGGTTGCTTCTGGGTGGGTTGCTGGAGCAGATGACGTTGGTGACTTCAAGTCTGATTTTGTTGGCTGCATCTGGGTTGATTTTGGTTAGGCTAGCTTCAACTCCTCATATAATGTTTTCAGTGGGGATGCGTTTGGGGGCGACTGCAAAGTTGAATCCTTTGGAAAGGACATTGGTTTCTGTTATGGTGATGTGTTGATGTGTTGTGTGCTGTTTGTTTCATTTGTTGTTGTGGGGAAGGGTTGGGTTTCTGGCATTTCTCTAGTCTGTGGAGTTTCCTGGTATGTGTGTGTGTCTTGTGGGAGGTTTCTGTTTCGGCTCTCCAGAAGGCTAGTTGTTTAGATTTGTCCCAGAGTACTGGGTGGATTTTGTTGCTGAGTTTGAGATGGAGTGCGAGTAGGTCTCTGTTGGTTTGGTCTAGTAGTAATCTTTTCTTGTGGAGTTCGTTTCTGATTACAGCTAATTCCATTCTTTTCAGGATCCTTTCAGTGGCTGAAATTTTGGAATGGAATTTGAGTTGGAAGCATGTGGGGATCACATTTTTGTCTCAGCAATTGCGTAGGAATGTGAGGTCACATAAGATGGTGGCTCTTCGGACTTCAAGTTTCTCGTAGGTCCTGGTTAGCTGGAAGGTTTCCTCCCTGTAGAGGTACGATATTTGTTTTCGTAGATTTTCACGGGTACAGGTATGTCGGTCTAGGTGTGTTTGGATCTTTTCCCATGTAAGATTAAGAGTATCTTGGCGACGTTTTGGCGAGGTCCCATTCTCCATCCTCATGCTTTCGGCTTCGTGCCAGTGCAAGCAGTGTGTGATTGGAGCTGCCGTCTCTCTATAAATACTGGTGGTGGGGGCTGGTGTGCTGGGCTGGTTGGCTGCACTTCTGCCTCTTGATTGGTTGATGGAGTTGATGTTGGTATAATGGGCTGTGTGATGACCTTGTGAGTTTTTTTGTGGAGATATCCTGGATCTTGTGCTGTAATCTCCTGGGTGTTTGTTTTTTAGTGATCTTTTTTCCATTAGCCTCTTGTGTTTTAACAGCTTGGGTAATGGGTTGTGTGATGGGCTTGCAAGTTCTTTTGTTGTGTCATGTGTGTGTGTGTGTATACACACACACACACGCATGCACACACATACACACACACATATATATATTCATATACATATACATATACATATGTATATAAATAAAATCATATTTGGAAAAAACAAACAACCCTAAAACACTGAAGACAGCAAAGCTATATCTGTAGTCAAAGTTTAGCAACCACAACTGGGACTGAAAACTTGGCACTAAGTGGAAAATCACATGACCATGATAGATTTATTTCCCCTTGGGTGATTAAGTGAAGGGCTCTGGTTGTTAAGCAAAAAGTCACATGACCATGACATGATTTTATTTATATGTTCACTATTCACTCTGCTTGTCACAGACCAGTTGCAAAGCATACATATGGCAATTACATCACCATGAGGTGCTGCAGTGATTTAGATGTAAAAAATGGTCCCAAAGTTGTGTTCTTTTTTCCATTGCCGTAACTTTGAACAGTTGCTGCCCAAGTTAGTCAGAACACAAGGACTATCTGTACTTTTCTTCTCAGGCATCAGCTTAACTTCCTAAACAGTGTTTAGGCATCTGTACATCAACTGAATTGACAAGAGTTATTTTTATGAGGCAAAAGGAAGCTAAGGTGCAATCTTGCAGGGTTTTTTTAATGTTCATTACCTTTTCTGTATTAGTAATTCTTTTCATGGGAAGTACAGTTCCAGCTCTTTTGGGAGGAAATTGTGCTGTCCAGACAGTTTAGAGTTAATGGGATTTGGGATAGTTAGTTAGGATTTGAGAGCTGTCCCCTTAAGCAGGGGTCCCCAACCACCGGGCCCCGGACCGGTACCGGTCCGTGGAACATTTTCTACTGGGCTGCCGGTTTGCTGGGCACCACCCTCTTGTTTTGATGAGAAAGTGCTTCTGGTGAGCTTTTCTGGTTGGAAAGTGGCGTTTGGGTCCTGGAGGAATCCTCACGCCTTAGTTTCATCAGGGGTGTGTGTGGCTTCGAACAAAACTAAGGTTGGGAGGATTCTTTCAGCACCCAAGGCAAGGCGAGCTGAGCGACCGTCCCAAAGCCGTCCCAAAGCCCATCGACAAAGGTACAAAGGAGGAGTTGAAGGTGGCGGGGAGAAGTGGGGGACAGCTGGCTGGCCGGTTGCTCAGCTCGCCTTGCCATGCGTGCTGATGCCGGTACCGGGCCGCAGATCATTTTGTGATGCCGGTACCGGGCCGTGGCACAAAAAAGGTTGGGGGCCACTGCCCTTAAGGGAATGCATCATGCTAAATGTAGTTAAGGTTTCCTGGGAAATGTAGTCCATGTCATGTGGTCACATATGTAATCCTGATTGGTCACTAAATTGACCCTTGTTGGGTTGGGGGAGGCTCCCTCACTCTTGCCTGAATCCACCATACGATGTAGTTGCTTCAATCATCATGGGGTTGAGACTTTATTATCTTTCTACACCACAATGCAGATATGCAAAGGATTGGACATTAAGAAGAACCTTGTCATAACTGTGAGTTGATAAGAATGCCTGATGAACCAATAAAAAAGACTTTGTATGGATGCTTTGTGGAGTTGATCTGTCTGCTTTATGCCATCCAAATATTAATATGCAGAGCAAGATTTCCAAATTAAAGATTAAATTCCAAGGTCAGTAGAGGAGGCAACTTTAAATTTTGTTTTATTTCCTTAGGAGGCAGAAAATTATCTGTGCAGCCAGTATGAACAGAAGATCCGTCCCTGTATTGACCTCATTGATTCACTGAGAGCCCTTGGTGTGGAAAAGGACTTGGCGTTGCCAGCAATTGCTGTGATTGGAGATCAGAGCTCTGGAAAAAGTTCAGTTCTAGAGGCCTTGTCGGGAGTTGCCCTTCCTAAAGGCAGTGGTGAGAATTTTCCCAAAGCTTTTCTTAGACTTCCCTAGCTGGTACTATTCCGATATGTTGGCCTACAAGTCTTATTGCTATACCTCCATTCCTGGGGGAATGGAGTTTATATTCATCTTGAGAACCAGCTGCTGTAGACAGGTTTTCAGTTGGAATGAAGCTTTTGAGAGATGTTCAATTAGCTTTGTGAACTTCAGGAGCCTAGAACAAATGTGAACTTCCATATTTTTTTAATCAGAACATGTAAATCAGGCCATTCTCTACTTATTTTCCTTCTTATTTTTATATTAGCTTCAACTGAATCAAAATCAGTTTGTCCTAATTTTCCAAACCAGAGGGCTTCTGTGTGTATAAAAAAAAACCCCTGTATTCATATCCAAAGACAGTTACTACCCAGCACTTAGTTGAATGGCATTCAGAATAGGTTTAAATTTTTTTAAAATTATTTAAATTTTAAAGTAAAAACTAGGTAAATTAATTTTTTTAAAACTATGCAAAACAAAAACCAGAAACCAAGACATGGACAGTACAGTATTTAGTTGTTATTTTTCTTTCTGCTTCTTTTCTTGATTATGTTGTTAAATCTTCTATCTATCTATTCTATTCTTTAGTCTTTATTATATATTATTTTAAAAGGGCTGTATGTATGTTCCAGCATAACTCTGAAAGCCTCAAGCAATTTCAACCAAACTTGGTAAACAGATGGCTTACCCTTTGGAAACAAAAAACACTGGGGGTAATATCTCTCGGGGGGGGGCGTGTTTGCAGGGGTGGGTTTCTATCAGTTCGCACTTATTTGCTAGAACCGGTTGTTAACATTCTAAGCAGTTCGGAGAACCAGTTGTTAGAAGAAATTATTGGCCTAATCCTGTAAGGAAGGCAGGAAGGAAACATTCTGGTGTTGCTTACAGAAACTGGCTCTTCGTTAACCCTTATTACATTCTTGGCAGGACTAGACTTCCTGTCTCAGGAACTTATCTGGAGTTTTTTTCCCGTCCTTTGCTGGTACTTTGCTTGTGTGGAGTGACCACTCAAAGTTACAATGGCGCTGAAAAAAGTGACTTATGACCATTTTTCATACTTATGACTGTTGCAGCATCCCCACAGTCACGAGAGGCCAGGCGAAGAGATGCGTGCCTCAGTGTGAATGATATTGAGTTGGCCAATAACATGACCACCAAACCACATCCACCTGGTCACATGACTATCAAGCCACACTAATCAACTAAGCCACACCCACAGAACCGGTTGTTAAAAAAATTGAATCCTATGCCTGGATGTGGCTTCTGCTATGGTAATGGCTTCACAGGGCTCCCTCTTGTGGAAGAATAGAAGAACTGCGATGCGGTGTGAGAATACAACAGTGTCAATCCCTACTACAGGATTTTCCTGTCTAATACAGGATTGGGATAAATAGATACCCGGGCAACACCAGGTTATCAGCTAGTATCTAATAAAATAGATGATATCTGTAAAATTAAGAAAAACATTTAACTTTGCAGGGATTGTTACCAGATGCCCTTTGGAGCTCAAGATGAAAAAAAATAATAAACAAAAATGGAAGGGGAAAATTATGTATCTAGAAACAGAGGTGAAACTGGAAGATTCATCAGAGGTGGAAGATGCAGTTAGGAGAGGTAATATTCAGTAACAATAGAATGGCTTTTCTTTTCCTTAAAACAATCAATATATATAGAATTTTAGCTTACAATAGTTCTTTAATGGTAGTGAAGGATAGAAGTAGAATGAAGGTTTACACTAGTAGCTTACAGTGGTTTCACTTCTAAACATATTTCTGCTTGTATTTGATATTTGATTTTAATTCCATTGACTTTTAATCTAAATATATAATCATGTTTGCTGCTGTTAGAAATTTCAAATGGTATTATATTTTCACAATCTTACTTTAAAATGTTTACTGAGAAAAGAAAGGGGGGGTATATATTTCTTTTCTACTCTCAGATTCATGTTGTACATTCCATAAACAAATTCTGCTTCATAGCCATGAGAGTACAAATAGTTCTCAATTTATGACAGACAACCATATTTCTATGGTTGAACATGCCACAAATTATCTATATAACCACCTTAGTGAATACTGAGTTCCTCTTTTCCCTAACTTCATTTTTTCAAGGTTCTTTTATTTTTATGTACATTCGGGGCAAAGTTGCTGTGCTATAAAGCAAAGTATCTCCACTTTTGTTTTGTTTTGTTTTTTATTTCCAGAAACATCTGTGGCTCCACATAAGTATTTTATTTTATTTTCAAAACTGGAGATGGGTGCCATCCAGCTTTGGTTTGGAAATGGTCATTTTTAAAAAAAAAAAAGGTGCAAAGACCACTTTGGATTAGAAAGTATTATGGAAAGCAGTGGGGGTGATAGGAAATATTCTTCAGTCTGCCCTTGAAATCTATGGTTTTTTAAAAAAATAATAATTTGCAGTATTTGAAAACTAGTTGTGCCCACTGTGGCAACTCTTTTGCATAAATAGCCATGCACATTCTTAGATTTTCAGAAGTTCTTACTAAATCAAGCAGGTTGCCTGGTGCTACAATCATTTTTCCCTTGAAAACATTTTCTATATTTTTTTTTGCGGTGGAGTGGGGGGAATTGGGCTAGGAAATAACAGATTCTATTCTATGAAATTTAAAAATGTAAAATGAGAGATTATTCCAAGATTGACATTGAAAGGACTAGAGTAAAGTTTAATCAAGCTGCCAAAAGCATGTTTAGATTGTGAGAGGGTATACATTTGATTGATAAATAGTTTAGAATGGAATATTTTGATGTTCTATCCATGTTAGAAGATATTTTTTCTCTCGTAACTTTCCTTGTGTAATTCCTTTTAATTGTAGCACAATTATCCTTTATTTTTGATTCTGCTTTTTCACTGGCCTGGCACTAATATCCTGGTTTTTAACAATAAATTAAGCATACAGTGTGTTTCAACCTTGCTATGAATCATGATACAATAAATGCTAGCTAGTATTGCTTTCCCGTTATTCTGTGTAGATCATCTCATTATAGCTATGAAAACAGAAATAATACTGCAGAAAATGTTAGCTCGGTAAGGAAATCCCTCTACTAATATTTATTAAATACTTGCACAGCTTTCCAGCTTGGCTTTTAAAAATATAGTATTGTATTATCTATGTATCACATTGTAAAATTTAAAAGATATGTGTTATGAAATGATTTTAGCATGCTGTCTCAAAATATTTACATTTGAGTACACAGAAGTACAGAAAACCTGTTGAAAAATACAGTATATGCTAGTCTGTTTTCTTCAGAGGTCTTTTAAAACAAATGGTGGTTTGATAAAACTACTCTGTATAAAGAGTTTCCCATAACTGAGTTTGCTGCTTTGTTTTGCCTCACACAATATAGCCCAGAATGCAATAGCTGGTGAAGGACTGGATGTTAGCGACAAATTAATTACCCTGGAAATTAGTTCTCCAGATGTTCCAGATCTCACGTTAATTGATCTTCCAGGAATTACAAGAGTGGCAGTAGGCACTCAACCACCAGACATCGGCAAACAGGTAAAGTAAAAAAGATTTTGTAGTGATAGGTATCTGATTATCAATTGAACTGGGGGCATGAAGATATGACAGCATTGTTTACTGCTAATTTCTGCTAGGAAAGATCTTTACACGTTTCAGAAATGAGATGTACAGGTAGTCCTCCGTTACTGATTCCCTCAATAAGTGGCCATTTGAAGTTACGATGGTGTAAAACCTATAGCTTTGCTACAGATGCATTTATGGCAGCATCCTGCAGCTACGTGATCACTATTTGTGTGCTTTGCAACTAGCTTATGACAAGCAGAGTTAATAGAGACATAGAAGTAAAACAATTCTGTTCATGTGATGTTTCACTTAGTGACTGTTCAGACAGACCAAATCAGAATCAAGGTTTTAAAGTGTTTGTGATCACATGAGTTTCTGCTTAGTGATGGTGGTGCTTAATGACCAAGTTGCCTGTCCCAGTTGTGGTCCCTAAGCGAGGACTATCTATAGAATTTATCTTCCCTTTAGTTGATCTGTAGTCAATGAATGGATTCCAGAAATTATGTTGAGTTTACGCAGTGTATTTAATGCGTCTTGGAATGCCAGTGGAACTGAATAATATTCCCTACCTAGTAATCATGATATCCAGATGTGTGGAACTTCATAGTGTTCCCCTGCTTAGGCTTCCTGCTCTTGATCTATAAGCCTCTGGACAGAGGCTACTCAATATCTGGATAAAGTGGACAGGCAAATTGTGGCTCCCCCACAGATATTGAATGCTCTACATAGAAGCAGCATCTGTGAAACAAAATTTGGCCGGTGGGGGTTAAAGTAAGTTGCAGGTTATATACTATACATTACATAATACTTTCATTATACATAATAAATTTATGCATAGTTATGGTAGCCTTGATAGAATAAATTATTTCTTCTTTCCAGCTTTATTGAAAATAATTTTATCTTCTACCTATGCCTGACATAAAATGCAATTTAATTACAGATCATGACATTAATTAAGAGATATATTACCAAACAAGAAACCATCAATTTGGTTGTGATTCCAAGTAATGTTGATATTGCTACTACAGAGGCATTGAAAATGGCTCAAATAGTAGATCCCGAAGGAGAGAGAACACTTGGTAAGTTAACGAGATCATTAAAATATTTTTTCTACTCATGAAATACTGTAGGATACTACTGTAAAAAAATATATTAGAAATTAAGGTTTTGGGTTTTTTTAACTTTTTAAACAGTTATTGGAAGTCTGATTTTAGTAAATTTCTGGTTATCGATGCAATCGTCAAGAATGAAACATTGGCAGCAATGTGTCTCTTCATTTCAACTTGTCATTAGAGTTGGGAGATGTTGATTACATGGGTTAGTTGGAGAAACAAAACTTCTACCGTTCCACTGAAATTTGTGACTGTCTGGAAAGTTTTCAAGGATGTCTTAACAGGTGTGAAGAAGAAGGCAGATGGTTCCTATAATAAAGAGAACTTGTTTACATGGTCTACGTGGAAGCATGGGATTTGGGCAGGGAAATTCATTGTTCAATACTGTGAACTGGTGCCTGAGAATTTCAGAATTATTTTTACCTCGCCATTATCAAAAGCTCATTGTTTATTGTTATCAATAAACAATGAGCTTTTCAGACACGAAATGATCCTGGACTTTTTTTGGGATCCTCAAGCTCTGGATGTTGACAGTTGTATATTTCAAATATGCTCATACAGATTATCCTGAAATTACAACCATTTGTTTAGTGAATGTTTGAAGTTTATTTTTATTTATTTAAACATTTATATAGCTACCTTCTTATAGCCAGTTCTGGCTGCCTCCCAATTAAGGATTAAAAGAGCATAAAAGCATATTAAAATGATAAAAACTAAAAACAGCACTTAGACTGCTGGCTGAATATAAAGACAGTCAGATTAAACTCTACAAAGGCTTCCATACAAAGTTTCTTTATTGGATCACAAGGCATCCTTAGATATAACTCATGGTTACCTTGAGATTCATCTAATGTCCAATTCTTTGCATAGCTGACTTCATAGTGTAAAAGCATAGTGATCTTTCATCCCATAACGATGGAGCAGAGAGGGTGAGACACCAGCACGCTGCTAAGGTCCAGGCAAGAGTGAAGGGACCTCACCCAACCCAACCAAGGGTCAATTCAGTGACCAATCAGGATTACAGATGTGACCACATGACATGATCTACATTTCTCAGGATGCATTAACTACATTTACCATGAGGCATTCCCTTAAGGGGACAGCTCCCAATTCTAACTTAACTATCTCAATTCCCATTACCTATATACTGTCTGGACAGCACACTCCCCACCTGGAATTATAAATTCCACTACTAACTAACTATCAATTAACTATATAACTACGATAAACAGTAAACAGTAATATAGCATCAAACAAAGCAAAGCATGCAAAGCTTGAGGTTCAATCTTCAAGTTCAGCCTTTCTCTGCAGCAACACTAGGTTGGTGACTGGTCTGGTGTATAGCATCTTGGTGAAAGTCTGCTGGTCGCTTATGGCGGCCTTGTAGGGTAGACAGGTACTCTTGGTTCCAACAGTTCCAAAGGGTGTTGGCAAGCTGTTGGAATGGATGTTGTGAAGACATCTGCCTGGGTTGGGGCCTGCAACCAAACACCACAGACTATTCCTGAGATTCCCCATCCTAGTTCTGTTTTGAAGGCAAATGGGGAGCCTCTCGGGCCTCTGACTACTTCCAGGCAAGCTAAAGCATAAGGGGCATCTACTCCCAGCAAGAGTAGAATCTCTGCCTCCGGATCTAGAGCGGGAAAATGATGAGCCATGTACTTCAAGTGAGGTATGTTGCTTGCTACCTCTGGTGTTGCGATCTGGCTGCGGTCACTTGGTATCCCATCCCATTCAAACACAGGTGGCAGTGGGAACCAGCAAGTCCCATCTAATGAGTCTATACAGAGTCCAGTAGCTCTCCTCCCCGCCATTCTTTGTGGTACGCTGCACGTTGATATCATAAAATGCACTTTTTCCTTTTGAACAGCAAAGAGGTTGAAGAATGTGGGCTTGGCCAGTGAGCGATTACTCTGATTATCCACTATTACATACATCTTCACTGCTTCTTCTAGGCGTCCATTGGGATAGACATTGGCTAAGCAAATCTGATGACATGAGCAAGGAGACAGTGTGTTATCGCACACTGCCGTGCAGTTGACACTCACCGCTGGCTCTGGGTGTTCTTCTATATCATGCTGAGGCTCCTTGGCTGAGGGAGGGTTATGTGTTGTCTGCTGTGGTAGCTCAGAGTCTGGAGGCAGAGCGGCTGAGTGCTTGTTGCTGTTGCATAGATGACATTGCACCTTGGCTGTGCGGTCTTTAGCCGAGTGTTTAGATTCGCAACACTTCTGGCAGAATCTGTACTCCCTTAACAAAGCCTTCCTTAGGCGCAGAGGTTTCTGTGCACATGCTTGGCACCTGTTCAGCAGGTGCCGAGAGTTGTGTAATGGGCAAAACTGGACTCTCTTTGTTATTGGAGGTTTAAATTGGGTTGTGTCCAGTGGGCTTTCACCTGAACTCTTTATGGCTGAGGTCTTGACCTCGGTTTTATTTGTTGTCATGAGGTTGTGTTCTCTAGTGATTTGCACTATACTTCTGAGAGGTGTAGAGAGTCAGTTGTGTTCTTTGTCAGTTGGGAGATAGCTGTTTCTTAGGTGGAGGTTTCGAAAGCTGTTGCAGGACATTGTTTGGTGGGCAACAAATTCTTGGAGAAGGGCAAAGGGTGGTTCTCTGTTTTGGTTCACGGCCAAAAAGGCATCAGACAAAACAATCCATTGTTCCAGTATCTCTTTTGGTAGTTTGGTAATGATTGCTTCTTTGGTTATGAACTGATCAAGGCAAGCAAGTCCTGGTAAGTCAGAACATTCTTTGGCTGTTCACAGCTGCGTAAGCATGGTGGAAAATTCCTCCAGCATTCGGGTTTCATTGATGGCAATACACAGGAAACCGTCAAGTCGTTCTAATAGCGACTATTCCATCAGTGTGGTATCACCATACTTTCGGTCCAGAGTATCCCATACTCATTTCAGGGCGGTGCTTGGGTCATTCAGTATGGCTGAGTAAATGTCTTTCCCTATTTCAACAGACCGTGGTCCCAGCCATGCCAACAGGAATTTAAGTTTTTGCCAGGATGCGGCCTTTCTTGTTGAATGGTACTTGTGAAAACACGCTTCCACAGTAGGTATTCTCTGCCTGGCTTGTCATTAAATTTATACACACTGTTAGCTGCTAAGTCCAGCTTTCCCCATCGTAGTAACGATTCTCTGTTTCTTCTCTGTGATGGCAGATCATCTCTTAGTATAGCGTCCTTGTAGGCATGGCGTTCTGGCTCGAGGGCATGTGTTGTAGACAGTTCGTGGTTCTCCTCAGAGTACTTTATGAGGAGGTCATGAGCCGTTAACACATACGAAGGTAGTCTCTCTTGCTGCCGGGTGTGGGTACCACCTTCGTCTTGCCATATATCTGCATTAGAGTTGTCTGGAGGGTGTGGCAGGAACTCTTGCCTGTGGATTGAGTGTGGCCATTGTGGCTGCTTGCATGCCTACCTGTTGAGAAATCTTTGTAGTAACTGGTGGGCTAAGTTGCTTTCCCAGCAGGCCGTGAGACATTGGAGTAGGTTTGCTGCTTTTGGAAAAGGAGTCTCAAGTCTTAGGCCTTACAATGTCAAGTGTTTAGATCCTGTGGTTGAGATTCTTCCCTTCGATTCCTTGGTTCTGGGAGACTGCTAACTAAGTGTGCCGGTTCCACCTGTTTGTTTCGTAGCGAGTACTGCTCATCCATGTAGGCCTTGACCCGTTTATCTGGGCTCTCTCTTTCCAACTCTCCAGGGTTGAAGTTGAGGGAAGCATTGTCGGCTACCTTCCGTAATGCTGCAGCCTGTGCTGTCTTTGTTGCCAACTGCCTTTGTCATTTGACCAACTCCAATTTGGCCTGAGCTTTGGCCATTTCTGCCTATTGGCTGGCCTGAGCTTTGACCATTTCTGCCTGTTGGTTGGCCTGGGCTTCTGCTTGAGCTGCTACTGCCTCTTTCTGCTGTGTCACCTCCTTTGTTGCACGTAGATCTGCATCTGCTACTACAGCTTCTATTTGAGCTTCTGCAGCTCATTCAGCATCACTTGCTGCTTTGGAGGCCTTAGATGTGTCGCTGCGATGGGAGGATGCTCTGGAAGGATGGGAAGAGCTAGAAGCAGAGAATTACTGTCAGACGCTGGAAACTGCTCAAGATCTGGCTGGCTTGGGATGGAGGGAGGAGGCTCTTTTCTAATAGTGGGAGGAAGCCACATGTGATCGAGGGGCTATGTCGGATGTGGCCCTCTCCAACATTTCTTCTAGCCATAGAGTGTTGTGGAGTGCTGCCTGGAGGGAATATTTGCCTTCCCAAACACAGTCTTCGCGTTCCTTGTTTACCTCCTCGAAGCATTGAATGTGTTCTTGGAGCTTTGAGTCACCGAGCTTTGACTGGATGGACTTGAGTTTACTTTTGCTGTCTCCACCTAGCGAGAAGGTCATCTAGGTCTTTCTGCAATGTGCGGATTCTCTTAAGGGACAGCTCACGTTTGGGGGTATCGCAGATCTCCAGCAGCTGCGACCATGAGTTTGCATAGTGTCGATACTACCAGTTCCAATCCTCCCTCAAGCATAACTCCATAGGATCAGTAAGCTTCCTATGCTGTCTGAGGTCATAGGCTTTCTGAGGTATCTTTGCTTCTTCGGAAGTTTGGACATCCAAATCTGGGTTTTGGGAACCAGGCTCCACATTCACTTCACGGGTGGGTAGGGGGTTCAAGTCCTCTGGTGCATCAGAGACATCTGTCATGGCTGAAGATGCCGCCTTGCTTCAAATTGTTAAAAGGTGAATTTTGGAAAATTTAGTGGTTTTCCGTGCAATTCTCCTTTTCCCACTAGGGTACGCTGTAGGTGGGTAGCTGAATTTAGAAAGCTTCTGTGAAATTCAGTACTTGACCAAATAGATGGCGCTGCAGGCCGGTAGCTGAATTTAGAAAACTTCTGTGAAATTCATTGCTTGACCACAAGGTGGTGCTATGAGTTAGTAGCTGAAATACAGGCAGTTATTCTATGAAGAGTAGTCATCAAATGATCCTATAATTTATACTAATTGCTTGGGCAAACTATGATCAGGTGATCTCCTTTGGTTGAGCAATATAGGCTTGTGTCTTTTGATTAGAGATTGCCTTTAATTCCAGTAAAAGGAAAAAAATCTTTCTTGGCTCTGCCAGCAAAGAGAAATGACAAGCTGTATTCCTTTGTTTAAATTGCTGGCTGGATTTGGTTTCTCCTTTGTGTGTGTGTGTGGGGGGGTATATGGCCCGTTTCTATGGAAATGGCTCAGCACTAAATAATTTACAACCCTGTTGCTTGGAGACCACCATCATAAACTTGGATAGAAGGGCCTCTTTATGACCCTCTTCCATTGGGTTGACCTGGGGAATCAAATTTTGTTTTTTCTTTGTGGCTGAAGATTCAGGAAATATCACAGATTCCTGCCCAAATTCCCTCTCTTGTTTGTGTTAGTGATTGGGGACAAACCCCCAAACAGAATGTGCAGCAGCAGT